GACCCCACTGGGGGGCGACTTTCTCTTTCTGTGACTCCTCTGGAGGGAGACTTTCTGTTTCTGTGATCCCACAGGAGGGAGACTTTCTGTTTCTGTGACCCACTGGAGGGAGACTTCCTGTTCTTGTGACCCTCTACTGGAATGAGACTTCCTGTTTCTGTGACCCACTGGAGAGAGACTGCCTGTTTTTGTAACCCTACTGATAAGAGACTTCCTGTTTTTGTTACCCCACTGGATGGATATTTCCTGTTTCTGTGACCCCACTGGAGGGGGGCTCACTGTTTCTGTGACCCCACTGGAGGGAGACTTACTTCCTAACCCTGGCACAGGAACAGCCATAAAAACATTATCAGAGCTTCAATGCCTTCCTTGCTGTACTATAAATGTGTTCATGTCTGTGACCACATGGGATATGTTTCAAGTCATCTCCTGTAATATGGCTACAGTCTCTGATCAATTAGTTTATCTCCTGTTGTGGCTGTAGGGAGAGAGATTGCATGTGAAGATAGCAGCCACAGCCAGTAACCCAAAACCTAGAAGAGGGAAAATTAAATATGTAATAACGTAGACTACATAGAATGACCTAAACATTTGTGCACGTGCATGCTTTACATTTATTAGATCGTCACCTACCTGTCCTGCTGTGTAATGCTGAGTCGTGTGGCTGGAGAATAAGGAGGTGTGATTTATGTTGAAGTGGGAGAGTACACATTCAACATGTACAGGTCTAGTGTACCCGTCCACACTCACTGCAATTCCCAGAGGCTGACGGGAACTGTAGTTTCCTTTACTGTAGAGAGAAAGAGGAGGATATGATGCAGTCCTGGCTGTTACAGCTCCTCCTTGGCAGACCAGATGCTGTTATCGTTTGAATTATAATGAAGACTCCCTAAAAATGTACTTAGATTTTTCTCTTCAATGGTAAGGAATTTAACAAATGTATTAACTGTATAGTGTTTTGTGTAGGGGGGTGTACTAACGGGTGATTTTTTGCCAATCCCAGAGTTCTTCTTTAAGCCTATCTGGCTAAAATCACACAATGGGGAACTAACTATTAACTCACTAATGACCATTTGAATCTTTCTTTAAGTAAATGTGTAGCCTGTATTCTTCCTAAAACACTAATGATCCATCACAATTGACTGTTTCTTCTTAACAGTAGTATTTTCCTACTTCTAATCCCTTCTCACTCATCTTAAAAAAAGTGTAAGAAGCAAGCTAGATACTCACCCCCCTCAAATAACTCAGATGGATTAATACCAGCTAGCCAAATTACAGGTCAGTCTTCTTATTAAATGATATAATTAATATTTTGGACAAAATCTAAACATTACAGCTAGATTATGGCATAACTAACCTCATGGCAAAGACATAGATTGGTTCTATTGATGTATGTTAAGCAGGCGACAATACTGGAAAAATCTGCATTTTATAGAAATCTCAGAATACTTAAAACCACTCTTCGATTTTATATTTCATAATATCTATACAAATATTTTATATTTATACAAAATTGTGTCTTCCTTAACAACTTTCCCTCACAGGTCCATGTCTTATATACAGTAAATGCCTATGGTTTACATTAAATGCTCAGGTACCAGTACAGATCTTTTCCCTATTCCAAAAATCAACCCATTAAAATCTGCTTTCTTCACTATAAATAATATTTGCAATCAACCCCCTAACCCTGATATTCAAAAATAACCCTGATCTCAAAACTGATTACCACCATAAAGTCCAACTGTTCACAGATGATATTTTTAATTATTGGTAGCCCCACCAATTCCTAACCAAACCTATTCTCCCCCCCACAAGAAGTTTGCTTAAAGTCGGCATACCGAAAGGATTTTCTTTCAAAAATCGTTTCTAAGAATTTTTGTTCTGATTTCGCACCATTAGTGGGTAACAGAAATGGCCGATTTTCGTGTGACCATCGAATTTGAGCGATCGGGCATGTTTGAATTTTGTTGAAAAACAAACAAATTTCAGATCAATACTGGGAGAATTGTGTGGGAAATATAAACTAAAAAGAAATGAGCATGCGCTGTGACCTGGAAAGAAAATAAAATTCCTGGCCACGAAAATTCTTTTCTGTAGCAACATGTGGTGAAATTGAAGACTTAGTTGGTTGAATTTCAAAATCAATGGTGGCACCATCGGATTACAAAAAGCACAAAATTTCAGATTTTCTAAAGAAAATTAATTTGGAATTCGACCCATGTATGGTCTGCATAACACCAGTCAATACTTTATTTTTTTAGTTTTGGACAGGCTTGGAAAAAGAAATTACTTTCATCAAGTTTATTTTCTGTTGTGGACTTTGTTTACTTTCTTTCTCTGTGGTGGCCTTAGACAGCATTACAAGACATAAAGTAAATGGTTGTGATCAGGACAGAAAGACACGCACACTAACTTTAACCTGACAGCATTTCTAATCCTTCTCCACTAAATTCTGTGTTATCACTGCAGGGATTTTTCATCTATTCCTGAGTGAAGGCAGATAAAGACCAATTAGCCAAATTTGTTATGTTTATTCCAAACATGTTGAAATTCACTTTAGTTCAACATACAAGTATGTGGCTAAAAAGCTTAGGATTTGGCCTTCAGTACAGCCAATCACAGGTTTTCAACCTTTCGGTTTCCTCCTCAGGCTTGTCAATCACCAGTAGGGAAAGAGAGAGATTATCCAGTGTGACTCCTGTGCCTTAAAGGGTCCACTGGCCAGAGCAATACACCATTTTTGTTGCCCAATGATCAGAATGGTCAGAAATCTCTCCTGTATCATGTGGATACTTAGTTACTGAGTACCTTATATACAGTGCGCAGCATAAATGAGTCATCCCAACAGATTTTTCAGGAAAACCTTTACTTTACTTTTAGAATCAAAATTTTCTATGGAACACAATACTACAAAATACTCCCACAAATGCGGGCCATTGATTGCAAACAAGATTTGTTAATTTGCACGCACAAAAAAGTATTTTTCCTAACAAATTCATTCAAGACTATGTTGCAAAAATGAATACACCCCAATGAAAGTCTTAGGAGCAAAACTAAATTTTAGACAACAAAATTCTAATAAACAAGAATTCAACTACAGGTGAGTCTATTTATTCAGTAAGCAGGTGTCCAGCAGACTGTTGATTATAAAAAGGTGTTACTTAACAAAGAAAACCCCTTCCCAGTTCATGCTGTCAGCAATGGCACCATATGGAAGAGAAATGTCACAGCCTGAGAAAGAAAATAATTTCCTTACACAAGAAAGATGAAGGCTACAAGAGCAATAGCAAAGCTTTACTTATCAGTCAGAATACTGTAGCAAAAGTGATACACAAATTTAACAAAGATGGAACTGCAACCATCCACGGAAGTTAACACCGCAACAGGAACGTCTCCTGATGAGAAGGGTTGAAGAAAATTGCCATGCAAGTTCACTGCAGTTAGCTAAAGAAGTAGAAAGCCAAACTGGGGTGATTGCTTCCTGTGACACAATACGGTGTACACTGCACAGGAATGGCATGCATGGGTGTTGTCCACAAAGGAAGCCTCTCTTAAAGCCCATGCACAAAAAAGCCTGCCTAGAATTTGCCAGAGCCCAAGCTGAAAAAGAAGAAGCCTATTGGGACTCTGTCCTCTGAAGTGATGAGACCAAGATAAATGTTTTTGGCACTGATGGCTTCAAAAACTGTATGGCGTCACAAAGGTGAGGAGTATAAAGAAAAATGCATGGTGCCTACAGTGAAACATGGTGGTGGCAGTGTCCTTCTGTGGGGCTGCATGACTGCTGCTGGTGTCGGGGAGCTGCAATCCATTGATGGTATCACAAATTCACAGATGTACTGCTCTATATTGAGAAGATAAGGTGCTACTATCACTCTGTGCCCTTGGTCGTCGTGCACTTTTCCAACATGACAATGATCCAAAACACACATAATGTCACTGTTGCATTTCTGAAAAAGATCAGGGTGAAAGTGATTCAGTGGCCAAGTATGTCTCCTGATCTGAACCCAATCGAACACCTATGGGGAATTCTGAAGAGACAAGTTGAGCATGACTCTCCATTCAGCATCCAGGCTCTAAAAGAGGTAATTCTTAAAGAATGAAAAAAGTTAGATCTTGCAATATGTCGCCAACTTGTTCATTCCATGCCTAGAAGACTTGGTGCTGTCTTTAGAAATCATGGTGGTCATACAAAATATTATATGTAGTAGTTTTGTTGTGGGGTGTATTCATTTTTGCATCAACTAATTTGAGTAAAACTGAAGATTTTGTAATCTACATTATATTATTAACATTTACTCAGTAATGTATATCCCAGCTCCCCTGTACTCCATTATAGTGATATGACATGTATACAGTTTGTACATCCCAGCTCCCCTGTACTCCATTATAGTGATATGACATGTATACAGTTTGTACATCCCAGCTCCCCTGTACTCCATTATAGTGATATGACATGTATACAGTATGTATATCCCAGCTCCCCTGTACTCCATTATAGTGATATGACATGTATACAGTAATGTATATCCCAGCTCCCCTGTACTCCATTATAGTGATATAACATGTATACAGTAATGTATATCCCAGTTCCCCTGTACTCCATTATAGTGATATGACATAAATACAGTATGTATATCCCAGCTCCCCTGTACTCCATTATAGTGATATGACATGTATACAGTATGTATATCCCAGCTCCCCTGTACTCCATTATAGTGATATGACATGTATACAGTAATGTATATCCCAGCTCCCCTGTACTCCATTATAGTGATATAACATGTATACAGTAATGTATATCCCAGTTCCCCTGTACTCCATTATAGTGATATGACATAAATACAGTATGTATATCCCAGCTCCCCTGTACTCCATTATAGTGATATGACATGTATACAGTTTGTACATCCCAGCTCCCCTGTACTCCATTATAGTGATATGACATGTATACAGTATGTATATCCCAGCTCCCCTGTACTCCATTATAGTGATATGACATGTATACAGTAATGTATATCCCAGCTCCCCTGTACTCCATTATAGTGATATAACATGTATACAGTAATGTATATCCCAGTTCCCCTGTACTCCATTATAGTGATATGACATAAATACAGTATGTATATATCCCAGCTCCCCTGTACTCCATTATAGTGATATGACATGTATACAGTAATGTATATCCCAGCTCCCCTGTACTCCATTATAGTGATATGACATGTATACAGTAATCATTACTGTATACATGTCATATCACTATAATGGAGTACAGGGGAGCTGGGATATACATTACTGAGTAATGTATATCCCAGCTCCCCTGTACTCCATTATAGTGATATGACATGTATACAGTACTTACTCCTTGAGTCCCCCACGGCGGTGGAAAGGGGGGTCTCCTCTCAGCGGAGGAGAGCGGGCCTCTCCTGCACCTGTCCCCTCAGCGGCGGTGCCAAAGAAGCCGAAAACCGGAACTCGGAAACCGCAACTCGGCTTCACAATGAGGCTTGGAGTACAGCCGCTCCATCATCTGTGCTCACCGCTAGAGAATTTCTCCTCGCATTTGGCGAGCGGGCGAGCGGCTTTTTCAAGCCCTGTTGTACATTATAGTTTTATAGCTACTACAAATATAACTAACTGAATTTTTTTTGGCAACATCGTTTAGAAAATCTGTTCCTCTCTTGTATTGCAGAGAAGTATAGATCTGTTGGTTAGAGTGCAATTATATCTGTTATCATAGGACAGGTTTTTCAAAGTACCTCTCTGTTTATGGCCTTGTTACTGAATACTTCTGGATTGTCAAAAACAAGGGGACATAATATTTAAACTCTGGGGAATCCAATTACATTCACCTTAAGGCAGTGACTGACAGTAATCTTACATTCAATTATGTTTTAACACTTCCGATTTAGCACAAAAAAAGCCCACAAAGCTTCTCATTGAAAAACAGATGTTGGTGAATGTTGGTTATGGTTGCTTGATCCAGTGAACATGCAGGTAAATCCTCCTGTTAGATGTGTTCAATATATATGGCTTATGATTTACCAGTAAATAAGACATGAATGTTTGGTGCATGTTCATTGTATGTCAGAGTCACTGCTTTATAAATATGTCTCTAGTTCTCTTGCTTATCTTTTTTAATGATCATTAGATACCAGTAATCTTTGGAATTACAAAATGTAAGCACAAATCTTTAAATAAATATTAATTTAATATTATCTTGAGAAACACATAATAGCATCAATGTGTGTACCAAATATTCTGAAAATGCTGCAATTTGTGCTATTGTGCATTTAAACTAAGAGTCTTTTACTTCTTTTTTTTTACAGTGAAAAAGGCTAAGTTTGACGGCCCCCAAGGTAAGAAGTACATATCTTTTATATATATATATATATAGCAAACATGTATTTTTTTGTTGAGAAGGCATGTGTAAAATTGAAAGTATACTGTACCATATTTTTACAAACTGAAGCATTGAGTGTGCCATATTTTATCAGTTGTAGCTAGCAAGGCAAATACTTAATGATGAAAGGTATAGAGTTTTCTGGCACCCTAGTCTAGCCAAGGTTGCAGCCATTGAGCAAAACCTATAGATCATGTACCAGCTTTCCTTTGAAATTTTTAAAAGTATAATAGAGATATCGCTGATTTTTAAAACATGTTTTTAATGAAAGTAGACATACAGATGTGTATGTAGCAAACGTCTACATAGTAATTTAAAATTTAAGGAAAAGGTTCTTTTTTAAAACCCTTTTCAGGTTTTTTTGGGGGGGTTTGTGTTCCACTGGGTAGATTTACCTTCACTTCATGTCCTGGATTCACAAAAAGAGAGGATATTTCACCGAAGTGAGGGAAATGCTCCTCTTAGTTGTCTGCAAAAGATATGATTGGATGGTTTTCACCACAACTCTTGCTCTTGTTACATCTCCAAAATTATAGATTTACTCTCAATTTCTATTTTGGTGACAAAGCCTAGAGGGACACAGACTGCAAAAAGAAAACTTGACAGAATGTCTACCTTTTAGCCACTGTATGCAAAATGAAAAAAAAAGTTTTGTCTTTACATGCACTTCAACTTTACTTATCAACATGTTTGTTATCTTCAGTACTAGCCACTTAAAAAAAACAACAACATTGAGCAGGATAAAAAAAACAGGGAACCCATATTATGCTTGAATGAATCTTAACCCATTCCCTCTTCAAATTACAGCAGCTCAGGATATCCACATTGTTGTTCTCCATTAAAGAGAAACCATAATGGTTTTGGTTCAGTTTTGTTTTGTAGGTTAATTTATGTACATTTATACAAATGATGTTTTTTTGTAACTATAAGTGTACAAATGTTGTTTTATGAATAAACATTTAATATTTGACAGAGGCTTTCCATAGCTCTTTAGGGTAGCTAACAAGAAAGTACAGCAGAATCAGACCAACTGAAAATTTGGCTTGTTTGAACTATATACACTTATGTAGACCACAGACTTTAAACCACATCAGGTGGTAGTTAGATTGAATTGGACTAGTTAACTCACGTTGGTTTTAAAGTGTTACTAAAGTAAAAAAAAAAAATTAAAATAAACATTGCTGTGCAGTGGTATTGGACACAGCGGCCTGATCCCCTTCTGCTCTGGTCCATCGCTAGCAATCTTGGCTCCTCTTCTTCTTTATGTGCCCCCATAGCAAGCTATTCGTTATGGAGGCACACAATGTCTGTTCGCTCCGAGCTGTTGTCTATGGAGCCACGTTCCATAGACTCACACAGAGGGACTTAGCCCCCCACCCCCACTTCCTCTTCACTGCATTTGATTGACAGCAGCGGAGCCAATGGATCCTGAGAAATAGAAAACTTTTTACTTTTTTTTGCAAGGAATGCATTAAGGTAAAAAATGTTTTTAGCTTTAGTATCACTGCCTTCCTGTCAGTCTCTCTGCTTTTCTATTAAAAACCAACTACACTAAGCAGAAGAACATAACATGGCCCGTTCTCTAGCTATGCTGGGAACTCAGCCTGCTTTCCTCCAATCAGACTTTTCCTGACACACCCCTCCTGCATAACCATTCATTGGGAAGATCAGTGTACTGCTGTTTCTCCTCCCCCTGCTCTTATGCAGCTGAGAACAGAGGGAATGTGAACACTTATATAGAAGGGAAAAAAGGTACTTAGGATGTGTTTTTTAATATATATATACAAATATTTTGCCTATCATTTCAATTTTAATCTGAACGGGTTGTTATACAAGGTGATTTTTTCCAATCACTTCACATGGAATTACACTGCATCTGAGCACCTCAAACCAAAAATGCTGTTTAATTAATTTTTAATATTCAAAGCAAACTCACCCATCCATCCATGTCTCCATGCTTTATTTTGCTGAGAAACCACTTTGAAATACAACCCCTAGCATTTCTAGCCATGGCCATCTTGATAAGGGCAGATGACTCATGTGGCATTTACTTCTTGCAATCCATCTGCCGTTAGCTCAGGCATGCAGGCAGGAGAGTGTGCTTAACTGAGAAAACCTCTAGGCCAGCATACTAGGAAGTCACTGAAGAAATGTAAAAAAAGTTTAAAAGTTTAAAACTATGTTTTCCTATCTATTTACTAATACTAGCAGCATAAGGATTAAAAATAGACAATGTTGGGAGGGTGCTGTCAAGCAGCCGCCACAGTTGGCCGCACATCGAAACGGCTCCTCACCGTCCGGGGCGCACCACACCAATTACCCTCTGATCCTGAGCCTGACATCCCACGCACCTCCCTCAGTCACCTGAGAGCCCCACAAACTGACCTGGAATACCCGGAAGCCGCAGATCACCAGGTTCCGAATCTCAGTTATTGGAGGCACCGCTCTGCACTTGGAAGAAGTGGTGGTGGCCTCCACCTCGAGTCATGCGTGAGTACCCACAGCCTGCCGTCACCCCACTGGCCCGTATTCCCACCCCACAACCGAGCACCGGACAGCTCCTCCACGCAAGCGGCCGGCCTACCTGTGTGGTCCTAGCCTAAGCCTGCTCTACTTCTCCCCTGCGCTAGCCCCTGGCTCCTCGGACCTTCACAGGCTTACAGGCCTGTACACAGCTGGCAGGCGCACTGCTTTCTCACGGAGGGAACTGAAGACACCCCTGCTGGGACCTAGACACTGCAGCAGCCTACTGCCTCATTGACACAGGATCCTTGAAAAGGGAGGTAAGGACGAGTGTTCCCGTCTCCACCGAGGCACCCCTACACCACAGACCGGCAACGTTTCACTCACCTCTCCCATCTGGGGTCCCCTATTCTACCATCATAACCTGAGCTTACCTTGACCTACAACTGCAAGCTGGTTTCTGTCTGCTGCCTAAGAGCACAAATGGGCGAACCACCTTACGTGCTACAGAAAATTTCTTTCATCTGATCCACAGGGGTTTTGAGGAACCCATGAACCCTAATCCATTCAGCAAATCCAAAGCCCTGATTCCACCCTGCTGGACCCTAGCACTAACTATATATCCAATGTTTCTTCTAATATCATACAATTTGCTGTCTCTTGTTCTGTTTTGCAAGTCTTGACACCCCTTAGAGTTGCTCCTCTTAAGGACCACAACTGCCCCTGAAAGGTCCCTTTACCGGGTGCCCCTGGTTCCTTCTGGGACCATGGGGAAAAATTCCGCTACTACCCCGGCCAAACCAACCGGCTCTTCTAAGACTTCAACTACCTCTGCTAAGAGGCCTCTCTCCAAAATGGCCTCCCCGCAGACCTCGCCTGAACATCCACTTTGTCCCAAGAGCTTGTATCCCAACTGGACGACTCTTCCAATGACAGTCTCACTGCCGCACAAACTGCAGATCCCACCGTGGCAACAGTTTGAGATTTAGCTCTCCTTAGAAAGTTTAAACTTCTCCTCCAAAAGAAACTAAATACTGTGACGGAACAACTCACTACTAAGATCACTCGTGAGATAAGGGACATCGGATCCCCTTGAAACTTGAAGACAAAATGGACAATGCAATCCTGGTGATCAACAACCACGAACAAGATATTGACACTATCAAACTGGACCTTGCTTCCGCCCTCCAGAACCTTGAGGACTATAGCGGGAGGGGCAACTGCATGATCAGAGGCCTACCTGAATCCATAGAAGACTTAAACTCCACAGTTACTGCTTTATTAATGAATCTTGATACTCATACGTTTCTTTTTCTCACTCCCCTCTCCCTTTTTTTTTTTCTTCTCCCTCCCTCTCCTTCCCTATGGTCAAGCAATAGTATTGCTACTTTTATCTAATGTGTTTCAGATCATATACTACAAAGTATGCCCAGTCAGCCTCGACAACCCCCTTTTATGGCAGTGCATACGATCTTCGTCACTGATTGATTAGCCAATTTCTTCTTTGAAATCCTTGTGGTGGAGCCTTCTTCTCATTCTCTTACTACATCTCGTCTCTCATTCTCTTCTTTCTTCTTGACGTCAAACAGCCTGCATGTACAATATTTTAGGCCAAGTTGGACCTTTACTGCATCTTCAAGCTACCTCACCTCCTTCTCACCATGATGGCTACCTCCAAGTTTATCGTGTTGTCCCATAATCTACAGGGTTTTAACTCCCCCCGGACTACTATGCCTAACTTCACGCCCATGTTATTGGATTGCAGGAAACCAGATTTTCCACCTCCTCCTCCCCCAGATATCTCCACAAAAACTACCCCCAGGTGTTCCAGGCGACCTTTGAGAGGAGTGCTATTGGCGTTTCATAAAGGTTCTCTTTTCATATGCTCTCTTGAAATTGCAGACAGTACAGGTCATTACTTAATATTACAGGGGACAATCCTAGATGTTGAAGTGAGTATAGTTAACTATTATGCTCCCATCGCTCATCAGTCTTGATTTTTCTCTCACTTATTAATCTCCTCGCATAGGAAGGGCATCTTGATCATGATGGGGGATAGTAACATGGTATTGAACAGACAGTTAGATCTATCCCCTTCGTCGGGCTCCTCCAGGGTCTCCACCAAAGCTGACTCACAAACAAAGCATTTCTCAGACCTTTTGTCTGATTATGCTTTGGTGGATGCCTGGAGGGAGTTTAACCCTAGAGGGTAGGATTACATTTGCTACTCAGCGCTCCATAATTGCCAAATACGAATAGACAATTTTTTTCATTACTCAATCATTTATCCAAGATGTCCTTAATGTCAGAATCTTGTCTTCACCCTGTTCTGATCACTTGCCACTACTACTCACCTGTAAATTGCTGGCCTCTAACCCTCTACAATATTCCTGGAGTCTTAACGACTCATTGTTATAATTTAACAAGAAGGTTGGAGCCATTCAGGACTCCATCTTTAATTATTTTACTGACAATACTGTTTTGGCTTCCTCC